TTAATGCTGTGCATGCGCTTCAAAACTATCTAGAAGGTAAAAGGCGTAATAGCTCTTCCACATCACTCAGGAAACACCTTTGGGAGAGCACCATGGCAACGATTTCGACATTGAATGCACACTACTGGTCTACAAAAAGAGATCGGTGCTAGGGACGTATTCGAGGCGTTGATTGTCTGTGCCCAAAATCAAAGCTGAGCAACCGAAGTAGGTGCATGATCATTACAGGTGAACTCGTGCAATTCATCCGCCTTTGAAAGAGAACTGTGAGATTGCCGCAAATTCTTTATCTTGCGGCTGTCAGCGATGTCTCCATCGTCCCTTGTTGTTCACATAGTATTATAGAATTGGGGGACGGAACTCACGTGCGTCCGAGGATGTGCGCGGCAAAGTTCGTGGCGATTTGCACGATTCTGGCACCTACTACTGGGGCCCAAACTTGAAGTAGATTCGTTTAGTAGGGTCAGCCAATCTTATTGATCTACTTCACTTCGAATTTGGGCCTTAACGATAGGCGCTGAAGTCGTTCAAATCGCCACGAACCTCGCCGCGCAATTCGTTGCGCGTAGCCTCGGACGCACGTATGTACCCATACCCAGTAGAATCGGATGTGAGCGCTGGTGGAGCTACGTAAGGTTGGTCACTTCAATGGGATCTTCTGTGTGCGAGTTTTTAGGAGATGTTGCAACTAGCCTAACGCGTTACAGCGCTTGACCGCTCAACCACAGATCAAGAATCCCAGGCTTTTGATTCGATCAAGGCTTCGAATCACTTTCAGGTAGTTGACGACGAATATTTGTTGAAAATGTCGACCGAATAAAGCAGCTCTACCATAACGATTCTGTTCGTCTCTTTTCATTCATCTATTTCTCACAATGATTACAAACTATGCGATCACTCGGTAATCATCTGAGACAGACTTTCTCGGTACTATCCATGTGTATAGATTAGATGGTCATACCCTCCACTTTGTTCGATGCCCCTTCACTAAAACGCCTTAAGTGAGGACTTAATGCACTCTCGACGGAAAAGTGCTAACGAGAGCTTTGTTGGCCCTGCTGTATGCTCTTCTATCTCCCAAATGAATATCACTGAAGAAGGCCTTTGATAGATAGCCAACAATTCTTTACCTGCAGAGCGCTGTATGTGACAGGCACAATGGTAGATAAAATAAAAAGCGAAGGCGGGCAGACAAGCTGTAGGGCTGTACTCACGCCCAGAGGGACGCATCAAAACACCTGGTGATCATCATGTCCGCGCTCATGCTTTGCGGCATTGTATCAAAAACCAGCAGTACACGAATCAAAAACCTTTCTACCCCAGCCTGGACGCTTTCAATTTATGTATCACCAACTGACGATTGCTGGTTGTGTTATTGAAAGCGTACTTTCAAATAGGTTAATTTAAGAGGGCTTTTGATTCGTGACCAAGAAAACCTCATGCGAGCCAAAAAACTCAAACGGCATGCTGTTCTTGCCGAATCCAGGGCGTGTCAAGAAAGTTAAAGGGGGAGGCAGTTGGTGATCTCTGACGCTATTATAGCAAGATAATCCATTTCTGTCGATGTTGGTGAATATTACCCATCAGAAGTTACTATCATTGCTTTAACCAGGGCAAATAATGAAATATACATACATTGTTGCTTTTCTAGGCGATGATGAAACAACGATGATAGTCTGTGACCCTATCAGAACGTCATTTGATTCAAAATTTCTTTTTTGAGGAAAATTTCATTACCTTGGCGATCATGACGAGAGAGACGATCATTACTAGCCGAGTACACGTTTCTATGAGCCTTGACGGAGGCTCTCCTAGTCGCTTCACAGAAAGACCCAAGCAGACGGGAGCGTCTGGAATCAAGTTCTTTGAGATAATTTTTATTACATCCAGGTGAATGAGAATATTACTAAATTGCTAAATTAGAATTACTGCTAAATGAAAAAAAGAATGAGAATAATCTTTTATCTAGATAAGTATCCTGGGCAGGTGAACTAGGTTTCTTTTTTCTATGTAACAATCCTGGTGTAGAGCGTTTTTGAATTTAAGAACATCTTCGAGATTAACAATGTTTCCCATCCAAGAAAGGTAGATAGACTTCATTTTAAGTTGAAAATTATTCGTTGTAAAGAAAAGTCATGGAGAAACTTACAAACGGAGTTGGTGAGATTCCATGGAATGAGTGAGTGGTGCATAACTGGAATTAGTCGCTTCTTTTTCGATGAATAATGAAAATATTCTCATGGGTTGCAAAAGATCTATATTTGGTAAAGCACATTGTTAAAGATCAACAGGAGAATTGAATTGGAATCACGAAACTGGGAAGCTCGGTGGAAATTTTGAACACCCCACCGTTCCCTCCTTTAGACGATGCTAAGCGATGGAAGCTCTCAAAAGATACATACCACTGTATTATCATGATATCAGATACCCTTGTCCGCGATTACTCTCCACGTTGCCATATGTTAGCGCTACAATCTCAGAATCTCTTCAAGAGACTCGCTTTACCGATCACAATCTCCAACTCCGTTTCTGGAGCCTGTTTCTTCCCCATCGGACAAAATTTGGCAAGAAGGAAAGGTCTGTTGAGGGCATGTGGCTTGTACATAATCCTAACCTCCTCATACTGCCCCTCTTTCAGCGAAGGTAACTAGTCTCGCAAAAAGGGATATAAGAAAGCGTAATAATAAAAAATCATTACTTTAGTGCAACGTTTGTTGATTTTTCATAAGTAACAGATTGTGAAAAGCAGAGAAGAGGTAGGGGGCTCACATCCACGGCATGATCACGGCTTATAATTCCGGATCAATTTCAGCTTAATCCAACTGATGCTTTCATCCCCCGAAGTCGCTTAATTGGTACCGGAATTGTCTGGGAGGAAAAAAGTACTGGCATGTACGTCGGCTAGCCACCGCAATTCATTGTACAGGCCAAATACGCATTCAATACGTCACCACGATTCTAAATGGAAGTCGAGTGTGAGGCGCATCACTTCAACGGAATTGATTTCTTATATCGACAATTTGTCAACCACAGAATCAGATCAATAGGCAAAAACAAGTGAAAATCGAAGAAAGTACTTTGGCTACAAAAAAAGAAGACGCGATTGGCGTGCAGAAGCCAAAAAGTAGATTAAGCGCCAATTTGCTGGGCGCAAATAGAATTCTCGGGAGTCCTATGTTATTTCGAGTCATGTGAGTCTGCTAAACCGAACCCGTATATACCAAAAGCGTATCATACAAATTTATCACTATCTAGTCTGATCGAAGCAATGCTGAAGTAATAAACATTATAATAATCGTGATATGTTGTCTAGTGTTATTCTATCTTCTCGAGAGCACATCGATTTTTGAAATTTTCTGTTACTCGGGATCGTCTGTCAGAGATGTTATTCGGGCGCGTCCATGGAGATAATTTTTGAGAAGTATCGTGAGCAATTCTCTTCGTAATCCCCTATCCAGTTGTTTTTTATAAGGGCCCCACTCGTAGGGGACATTTGAAATCAATCGTTTCCAACTCCCACATCCCAGCTGAGTGCGGTGAAAACAGCTGGCACTGAATGACTCACCTGAGGCGAATATTTCCTCTCGAATGACGTACTTTGTCTCAATCGTTTCGAGATATTCGGCCCAGCACGTGAGGAAATAAACTGCGATAGCGGCCAACAGACCAATGAGGAAAAAGAGAACAACGTATTTCCATAACTCTAAAATGGCATATTTCAGACACTACACTCTAATTTGCTGAATAATACAGAAAATAAAGTGGGAGGAGTGGGAATGATGTCAAAAAAGTCTGTAGTTTCTTCTGTCTGATAAGGCCAGGGATAAGTCTCAAGTCATTAGCAGAGATTATATTAGGTTGATGCATAATTATTGCGGATTTTTTCGGCTTTTTTTCTCTTGGTAGAATTTGAATATTGAGTTCGGATTTTTTTTAAAAATGATCTTCTTGATTTCCTCTACAAGAATATACTCAAAAAACCATCCGCATATTTGCGGAATTAGGCTTTACTACTTCGAGAAAGTTTGGAAGGTGGCACAGTCATTCCGCGATCTCAGTAACTTTTCGGCGATCGTTCATTAGGTGATCTAGTGAAGGGGCACATGATTTCCTGGCGGTCAAACACAATTATTTTGATATTTTCT